AAACAGTTTTACATCTCTATGACTTATTTGTAACTGGAATAAACCCCATCAATGTCCCCCGTTGTATTCCTTTTTTTTTTTTTTTTTTTTTCTCTGACAGGACTGAAAAAACACCTCTTATTCTTGCTTTTCCTCCCAATTGTTTTCAAACTGTCAGCATCTTTCTGGAAGCCCCCTGCTGTTCTGGACACAGTATACGAGCTGAGCGTCCTATCAGTACAGAGTGTTACGAAATGATAACATTGTGTGTGTCTGTATATAAATACATATATGCATGAATAATAATATCACATGCATATTGTTCCCAGGAAAACAGCAACACGGTACAACTCACATTCAAGTTTTGTAAATCAGCTCAGCCCTTTCTTCAGGGAAGAATTAGCAATTTAACATGTCAATAGGGGATTTCACTTGGTAACACACAAGAACTTCCAGCTCTTTTCTGCTGCAGGAGCCCTGCTCAAGTCCATTTCGGAGCTAGAAACAGTATAATAGATGCATAAACAGAGCTGATTTAAGACAAATTAAGTTTGTAAGATATTTTCAATAATTCTTCCAGTCTTATCTTTTAAGCGTTTCGTGGATTCTTGTGTCATACCATCCAGACACCACACACCAAAGTTAGAAGGAGCAGCAAAAGGTCTCTGTTGGCTTCCTGCCTGCGGGGTGGGGGACGGATAAGGAGGAGGCCTGGCAAGAGTTAACGCTGCCCGCAGTTTCTCCTCTCAAGGCTGTGTTAAATGTACTCTAAACTTTTTGTTATCTCGAGTTGTGTGGCTCCCAAACTCTGGAACGGGTTGCTCCCAGGACAGCTGCCCCGCTGCAGCTCGCTGGAAACCCACAGAAAGCAAAAGCTGGGGGGGCAGAGGGGGGGGATCCTTGTTCTATCAGGACATTCTGCTTTACCACATTGCCAATATTGCATTTGTCAATTTGATCGGGGAGGAGGGGTGTCTTCACAGTGCTTTGAAATGTCCCACCCCCACTAAAGCCCCCCCATCCATCTCGGGGGATCCCCCTGATCCCAGCTCCTGCAGCTCCAGGGCAGGAGGGTCCTGTTCCCACCACAGTGATCTCCAAAGCTTCACGGTGGGTTTCGTGCAAGATGCAAACAGCTCTATGTGAAGCACCTGGGAGCACACCCCTCCCACTGTAATTAGCTACAATTACTTTCCACCCAAAGATTAATTAGCTGGATGTAATTGCTTTGAATTCAGACATTGGGAGTCCTTGTGGGTATGAGCAAAATCGTAATGAGGGGGCTGCCTCGTGACACAGTAACTCCCCATCCCTTTTCTGGCCAGAAACAACCCTGTTTAGTGGCTTTTGGGACAGAAGCTGCTGGAACACCAGTGTTCCCAGCCCATCAGCACAGTACCACTGGTATTTTAGCTCAGAGAGAGCAAGGTCCCAGCTCAGGATCACAGAAGTCCAAAGTCCTTCAGAGGAAACTTTGTGTAAGTGGGGTTGTTGCTACCCAGAGGTCAGCTCCGGTAGAAAACAAGGCAAGACTTTCTGGCGACCTGGTTTCTGCTGTTTGACCAGCTGGCAGGAGGCGAGGTTAAAATTTGCAGACCTCAGTTTGGGCACATTTCTCTTAATTGCAGCCTCTGTAAAAAATAGAGGTACCAGCCCCCCCTTCTCCCTTTGCCCCCCCTGACCCCAGCACCTTGCCGGGGAGGATGTCAATCCCCCTTCCTGCAAAGGGATGTCCATTTTGGATGGACAAACGCTCCTGAGGTCGGTCTGTGCCTGCGGGAGGATGAGCAGGGCACCACCACGCCTAGACTTTGGGGAAAACCAGGTCTCCCCTGAGGATAGCGACTGAGGATGATGATGGTGAACCCTTCCTCCCTGGCTGCAGCCCTGCCCCAGCAGTGCGCTGAGCCTGCACCCCACACAAGGAGCTGAAGCTCCCCCATGCTCGGAGCAGAGGAGGGGTGCACCCCAACCCCCCCTGCCCGCCTCGGCACCCCCAAAAGCTGTCGGGTCCCATAGCTACTATATCATTCACACTAAAAAAAATAAGAAGAGAGGGAGAAAAATAGGTAAAAGACTGAAATGAGAGGTGGGAAGGAGTGTTGTAGGATGGCCCAGATTCCAACTAGGACATGGTCATCTCATAGACATAGAGAGGCTGCAAATACAGTAGACCCTTTCTACTTCTGTCCTCTTTTACATGGGCCAGGACCGTGCAGCACTGAAGACAACCATAGATTGGCGACCTGTCTACATGCCCATGGAAGTTCTTCTCTCTTTTGAGTACACTCAACTGGAAACCAGAGAACAGGCAGGAATTGTGACAACTTTTTTTCTTTCAGGCTCTCTTTATCTTATGATCATTTTGCAGTAGGACAGACCAAGAAAATTTTGTATGCAAAAAAAAGAGGAAAAAGCTAGTATGTTTTACAGTGTAGCAAATTCAGAATAATAGAATATCTGAAGGCTCATATCTGCAATGATCTCAGAGTGGGTTATGTGAGAGAAGGAGAAATGGATGCCAAGCTAATTCACCGGCATCGGTCACAGCATTGCTCAACACCGAGTTAGAGATCCAACTATTAAAGATCTCACTTACATAAGAGATTCAAGAAACACAGGTTTTGATTACAGAGATAAGAAGGAATCAGTAAGAGAAACAGGAAAGCTGGTTAAAGACAAAATATCTTATATTAATAATATCCTAAAACCAAAATCATCCTAGTTTGGATTTTACCAAAGCAGCCTGTTCTGGGGAAGGACAGATTTTGGCTCCAATACCTGGTCAGAAGGTCGTGTCGAATGGTTTTCAGGTGTACGAGAGAATTGTCATCTTCTACAAATTTAAACACTTCTACTGTGCTCTTCTGATGGGGATGATTCACAACAAAGAGGTACACGGTGTTGTCTTAAAAAATAAAACAAAACCAAGCCAAAATCAAAACAGGAACAGGAACATGTCCAGGTGGGTTTGAATGTCTCCAGAGAAGGAGACCCCACCACCTCCCTGGGCAGCCTCTGCCAGGGCTCTGCCACCCTCACAGCAAAGAAGTTCCTCCCCATGTTTAGGTGGAGCTTCTTATATAAACAACAAATTTGATAATTTGTAGTTCACAAATTTGTTAATTTAGAAATTTGATAATTTGTAGTCAGCTATGAAAGCCTCTGTCCTGGTCACTACTAGTTGGTGAAGCAAACATCTCCTGGAAACCCTTGACCCCCAGGTGAGATAGATGTAAATTGGTAAAATAAACTTCTTGTAGTTTTCAACTCAAACTTTTCCTGTGTTCTCTTTCCTTTCAATATATAGGACATCTTTCTGTCTCAGACAGTTGGAGATTACGTGCAAAGGTATCATGTCCTTTAGCAGTTGACCTTTAGAAAAGAGCCCAGTAGAGTTAAAAAGCCCCAAAAAACCTTTTTCTCTCCCAACGAGCGCAGGCTGTTGGGGGTGCAATATAAGGCCATAAAGGGGTTTCTATTCCTGCTCTTTAGGCTGAGATCAGCCACCACCTCCAGATAAAGGCCTCCTTACCTCTGTCTACGTAGGTGCTGATTCCATGCGGGTTAAACGACGCCAGATCAAACCCTCGGCTGATCCTCAGTTCCACTGCTCTGGGGTTGTCCTCGTTCAAATCCATCAAAAATATTTCGCCTGGCTTGTCCGGTGCGAGGCTCTTTATTCCTGGGTATTTTAGGCCCTAAAAGTAAAATCAAAACCATGAGAAAAGTCACTCATGGATAAGAGGTGAAGGGAGAGCATCACCCCCCAGGGTGGGTGCTCCCTGTATCTCAAACGTGACACGCTGAGGGGGACACACAAACTGGAGATGTGGCACCATCGAGTGCACCCAACGTGGTAAAGCTACAGGGGACAGCAGCAGTGTGACAGTTCATGATTTTTTGGGCATGTATTTTGCAATCCTTGGCTGGGTGATGTAGGTGAAAACGCCAGCTTTTGTTTTAGAAAATAATCACCTGGTTGCAAAGCAAAGTTTGAAAACCTTTGTCCTGAAGGCTAAACAAAAAAATATCAGGAGCAACAAAATCAAGGCACAAAATCTGTTAATTTTTTCTTTTTTTGGATAGGGAATTAACACACCTTCTTAAGGAGAGAGAGAGGTTTACCATGTCAACATTTCAAGCAAGCAGCATGAAAGCAATTGCAGGTTGTGTGGGTGGAACAGCCAACACAACAGGGTACGTGTGTCTGAGCCACCACCACCACTTCGGTGGCCAGAGGAGCACTTGCTCGAGCAGAAGGAAACACCAGCAAAGCCCAACACAAGTCTGGGCAGTTTCTACAGAGCCGGCCTTGTAGGAAAAGGAGCCCATCTGGCAGTTTTCCCCTCGGGTTCAGTGGATAAGGAAGCAGGAAAACCCCTACGTGGGGAAGGGGAGCGGGCACTTACGGAGCTGATGAAAGCCAGTCCATTGGGAAGGATGTCGATGTCTTCTGAACCGGTTTCTGCAACACAGGGGTTTTCAGATGACATTAAACATTTCCCATCAAAAAAAACAAAAAACAAAAAACAAACAAACCACAAAACCCACCTAATTTTTTGTACAGTTCCAACCCTCATGAATGCCCTGCTCTGACACGACCGAATCAGCGATGAAGCTCAGCAGGAAAAGTTCCCATCGCAGTAAAAGCGGCAGCAGCACATGGGGTGAGGGAATAGCAGTGGGGTTCACCTCTTTCTGGGGCGATCCCACTTTTGATGACAGGGTTCTGCAGCTAGTAATTTGCCCAGGGGATGGCATTTTCAGGGCAAGACCATACCCACGGCCCAGCCTGCATGCTTATATAAGGCAGCGCTGGGAATTGGGAGTGCTAATTCTCTTGGTTGAGCTGGGACACTCCACTGAGAGGGATTGCCAAGTATTTAGTTAAACCTCTCCAGTGACAGAGAACCTACTGTATCTTTAACAGCCAAGGGTTTTAATAGTTAGACCACACTTTTAACTGCAGGTAATAATTTGCTATATTGCCAGTTCCTATAATATTTTTCCCTGCTAGGAAAATATAAAATAAAAAAATAAAATAAAAAATAAAATAAAAAATAAAATAACATGACATTAAAAATAAAATAAAATAAAATAAAATAAAATAAAATAAAATAATAAAATCCCTTTAGTAAGAACACAAGAGCAATTTTAGGCTTTGATCAAGCACTCTCCCTAGATCTTTTTGTCCAACACTGAAGGCCATTTGCCGTCCCACATTTTCACCCCTCCCCTGAGAAGCCGCCCCTCTCCCCCTCAATCACCATAAACCCCTTTCCAGATGGTGGCTGGATTAAACCTTCCCAGGAGCTTTTGCTTATAGGAGGAAACTCTTCTGCAGGTTCTGTTTAACAGGGCCACCAACACAAAGGTTTTTCCACCCAGTTTCCCCCGTCTCTCTGCACCGCCTCCTGCTTGGCCATGGACCACACGCTTGACCCCATGTGGGTCCCACCATCCCTGGCACCTCCTCCTGAGGGTTCAGCATCTGCAAATTCCAGCTGGGTTTATTCTGTGCTTTTCTGTAACTCCCATTTATGGCGACACTGATTCCACTGGGCTGTAATTTACCCCAATAAATATCTAAACGTTCTAAAAATAAAAATATAAATTGTAAAAATTTCTAAAAATATCCCATAAGAGCCCAACAGCTCTTATGGGGAGAACTCAGACCACCACACTCATCCACCCGGGCAAGGTCCTTCTCAGCCCAGCCCTGGACATGGTTGCAGGACTTTCCCTGGAGGGACAGGGCAGAGGACGAGGCCAGCTCCTCCCCAGCCTCAGCAAGCCTCCAGGGGCTACAGAATCATAGAATTGGGGACCTTAAAGTCCCCCCAGTGCCACCCCCTGCCCTGGGCAGGGACACCTCCCACCACACCAGGTTGCTCCAAGCCCCCTCCAACCTGCCCTTGAACCCCTCCAGGGATGGGGCAGCCACAGCTTCTCTGGGCAGCCTGGGCCAGGCTCTCACCACCCTCACACCAAACAAGTTCTTCCCCACATCTCAGCTCCATCTCCCCTCTTTCAGTGTCAAACCCTTCCCCCTCATCCTATGGTGGGATTGCCATGACCCACGTGCAGCACCTCGCACTTGGCCTGGCTGAACTTCACAACGTGCCCACAGACATTTAAAGCCTGCTGTTTTCCAACTCAAATTTTGAATTTGTGGGGTTCTTTTTCAGCTCAGCTCATGCCCTGGTTTAAGCAACACCTCGCCCCAGCTCTCGGTCTCTCCAAGCCTGGGCTCATCATCCACGGGACAGGGTTAGTGGCAATCCCCAGGATTGCTGCAGAGATAACAACAGGATAACTACGATAACAACAGGAACCGAGGCGGAGAGGCCCCATTGCCATGGTGACGTAAGCGGGACAGACAGCTCCTGATGGCAGAGCATGCTGCTGAGAGATCAGAGATACCATCATTTATCACTACAGAATCAGTGAGCCTGGCCAGCAGAGAGAGGAGCAGGCTAATTGGGAGCGGGTAATTAGAAAGCAGGAGTTTCTGGTGGCAGGGAGAGCCCTGCACCCAACTGCTTCCAAAGAAACCGCCCAGCAAAGCACATTCTGGTCACCTCTCGGCCAGGTCTGGGGTATGTTGGAAGAGCAGTGAGATGCTGACCCAGGGCCATCCTGCTGAGCTGGCACTGCCGAGGTGGCCAGGAGGGGACAGGGGACACACAGCCCGGCCTCTCCCATGGGACCCGATGCAGGGGGGCTCTGAGGTGGCATAAAGGACAGGAGAGCTAGGAACTGATTTATTCGGTGCCAGTTACCTGCACTATACTGCCTAACTGCATCACCCAGCTCGGCCATGGGATTATCTGAATAGGTACCATTTTCACCCAGCCCAGCTTGGCCATGGGATTATCTGAATAGGTACCATTTAAAAAAAAATAAAGATACTGAGAAAAATCACTGCTACCCTAGAAAAGCCCTTTTTTTTTTTTCATTTTCATTTTATCTTAGTATGATGTATTCCACAGGTGCATCTAATGAAAAAAAACCCACCTGGATTTCATATCCAAAAGCAAGTGTGTTGGCCTATAGCCCATTAGTCGGTCCAAGGTGCAAGTATTTCTAGCAATTTCTATCCTAGCTTCTTGAGCTTTAGGAATTAGTTCAGGACATATGGTTAGTTTATTATATATAAGCCAGTAACATGAGTAGACGCTCCTATAATTCAGAAAATACTGTTTGTTCTGCAACTATAGCCTTTTCTACATATCTGTGGCTGAGCTTTAGGACAAGCTGCAGGTTTTCACTGGTTCGTTCAATGTTTGCACCTGTGCTTACATTGCACAATATTTGAAAAACAGAAGAGATCAAGGCCTTAAAAAAAGAGAGAGAGACACTCAAAGGATGAAATTATGCAGAAAGGATAGGATCCACTGGCAAATTTTTCCGTTTGCTTCCTTTACCACGGATGCAGTGCTTTTAACATAACTACAGCAGACGGTACCAGCTGCCTGTTCCTCCATGGACAGAACGGACAGTTTAAGATTATTTTGCTTGGAGCTGGTCCAGCTCATTACCCGTGGTCCCACTTAAGAGGCCAGAAGGACTATTCCAAATATTAGATAAAGACAGACCACGTGTTCAACTTTGTCACAACAGCATTTTAAAGGCAGGAGGCCCAAGAAGCCCATGCAGACACATCCATGCATCCTTACAGATCCCAGCACAGCAAAAGCCCTGGTTTGGATAGTGCTTCCTACACAGCTGAGTTAAGTTTTGGCACTATAATTTTTTCTGAAAAGCTGCAAACAGCAGAGGGAAGGCCAGGCGAGGTGAAGGGAAGGGCACAAGAGCCCAGCGAGAAGCAGAAGTGAAGCTCTGTAAGATGATCTCCAGGCAAATGCCAGGCTCCAAAAAGGAGACACTGCTCAGAAATTAAACACACCTGCCATTGTGATATCCAGCTTTCCTTCTTCCCTCAACAACCATGGTGCAAAAAAGTCTTGCAAAGATTGCAATAGTGATATGCTGAAAAGAATTACTCAGAAATTAATTTTTTTATATGAATCACCATCAAACAAGCATTATTTATTCAGTGTCTTGTATGAGTAAATTACAGCTACATCTGGAAAGCTTTTTCAAATGCAATTTCTTCTGCACGTAACCTCAGGCAAAGGAACTCTGCATCCTCTCCCTCATGGCAGTAATTTGACTTCACAAAGATGTTTGATTCCTGACACAAGGAAGAAGCAAGATTTATGAAGATGACACAGTGACTCAGCAAGCTCAAAGACAAGGCTCTTAGCTCACCCAACGACTTTTTACACTTCCAAAATCCAGGCAAATTTCAACAGAACTCAAGACATTTCTGAAAATACTGAGGAGGAGAAAACCCCCAGCTCATTGTGCCTGTATTAAGTTTAAAAACTATAATTTGGGGGAAAGGGAGACACAAAAAAGCCATCAATTTCAATGCTATTCATTTTATCCTCTGGTTATCCTAAAGGGAGAGAAAAAAAAAAAAAAAACCAAAGCAACATTGCCATGTGGTCCACAAATGACCCAAAGTACAAAGTCAACCCTGTGAAACCTCTTCACCAAAGCCAGACCGAAACGGCAAATATTGCCCCTTGCTCTTTGAAACCACAGGGCTGGGTTGCACAACCTGCCCCTGGCACCTCCCCACCTAAATCTCCCAACTAAATCTCCCTGAAACCAGGCACCAAAGCTAGTGTTTCCCAGGGGGGACAGCCTCAGCTTCCCCACGGACCCATGGTCTTCTCCCAAAGCTTCCACCCTTCAGGATGCCACCGGCTGACGACCACCCATGGGACCCACCTGAAGAGCCAGCACTACCCTCATC